CCGCCCCCAGGCTCGTCCAACTGAAGCCCCTCCCAGCTTTGAGTCCCTCCCTCCCCCACCATCTCTGGTCAGCATGATATACAAATCCAATATGTAAAGGGGACTCTGACTCCCATCATGGGAGGGACGGGGCCACAGTCCTCATTGGTGACGCTGCCGGGGCCACGGTCCTCATTGGTGACGCTGCCGGGGCCACGGTCCTCATTGGTGACGCTGCCGGGGCCACGGTCCTCATTACAGGCAGGTGGAGGCCGCTCCATGTTATTGTATTGGTCCCATAGACCGGCCAATGAACGATCCTCCGGAGATCCAATCAACCCCCAAGGAACCCCCATCTCCGTTGCACACCCCAAGTGTCTTCATCCACGCTGCACACCCCCAAGGGTCCCCCATCCACACAGCACGCCCCAAGGGTCCCCCATCCACACAGCACGCCCCAAGGGTCCCCCATCCACACAGCACGCCCCAAGGGTCCCCATCTCTGCTGCAAACCCCAAGTGTCTTCATCCACACAGCACACCCCAAGGGTCCCCCATCCACACAGCACACCCCAAGGGTCCCCCATCCACACAGCACATCCCAAGGGTCCCCCATCCACACAGCACATCCCAAGGGTCCCCCATCCACACAGCACGCCCCCAAGGGTCCCCCATCCACACAGCACGCCCCAAGTGTCTTCATCCACACAGCACGCCCCAAGGGTCCCCCATCCACACAGCACGCCCCAAGGGTCCCCCATCCACACAGCACGCCCCAAGGGTCCCCCATCCACACAGCACGCCCCAAGGGTCCCCATCTCCGCTGCAAACCCCAAGTGTCTTCATCCACACAGCACGCCCCAAGGGTCCCCCATCCACACAGCACACCCCAAGGGTCCCCATGTTCACTGCGCACCCCAAGTGTCTTCATCCACACTGCAGGCCCCAAGGATCCCCCATTTCCTGTGTGCCCACCAAGTGTCTTCATCCACCCTGTGTACCCCAAGGGTCCCCATCTCCGCTGCACACCCCAAGTGTCTTCATCCACACAGCACGCCCCAAGGGTCCCCCATCCACACAGCACGCCCCAAGGGTCCCCATCCACACAGCACACCCCAAGTGTCTTCATCCACACAGCACACCCCAAGGGTCCCCCATCCACACAGCGCACCCCAAGGGTCCCCCATCCACACAGCACGCCCCAAGGGTCCCCCATCCACACAGCACGCCCCAAGGGTCCCCCATCCACACAGCACACCCCAAGGATCCCCATGTTCACTGCGCACCCCAAGTGTCTTCATCCACACAGCACGCCCCAAGGGTCCCCCATCCACACAGCACGCCCCAAGGGTCCCCCATCCACACAGCACGCCCCAAGGGTCCCCCATCCACACAGCACGCCCCGAGGGTCCCCCATCCACACAGCACACTCCGAGGGTCCCCCATCCACACTGCAGGCCCCGAGGGTCCCCCATCCACACTGCAGGCCCCGAGGGTCCCCCATCCACACTGCAGGCCCCGAGGGTCCCCCATCCACACTGCAGGCCCCGAGGGTCCCCCATCCACACTGCAGGCCCCGAGGGTCCCCCATCCACACTGCAGGCCCCGAGGGTCCCCATCTCCGCTGCACACCTCAAGTGTCTCCATCCACACAGCACACCCCAAGGGTCCCCCATCCACACAGCACGCCCCAAGGGTCCCCATCTCCGCTGCAAACCCCAAGTGTCTTCATCCACACTGCGCACCCCAAGGATCCCCCATCCACACAGCGCACCCCAAGGGTCCCCCATCCACACAGCACACCCCAAGGGTCCCCCATCCACACAGCACGCCCCAAGGGTCCCCCATCCACACAGCACGCCCCAAGGGTCCCCCATCCACACAGCACGCCCCAAGGGTCCCCCATCCACACAGCACGCCCCAAGGGTCCCCCATCCACAGCACGCCCCAAGGGTCCCCATCTCCACTGCGCACCCCAAGTGTCTTCATCCACACAGCACGCCCCAAGTGTCCCCCATCCACACAGCACACCCCAAGGGTCCCCATCCACACTGCAGGCCCCAAGGGTCCCCATCTCCGCTGCAAACCCCAAGTGTCTTCATCCACACTGCGCACCCCAAGGATCCCCCATCCACACAGCGCACCCCAAGGGTCCCCCATCCACACAGCACACCCCAAGGGTCCCCCATCCACACAGCACACCCCAAGTGTCTTCATCCACACAGCACGCCCCAAGGGTCCCCCATCCACACAGCACGCCCCAAGGGTCCCCCATCCACACAGCACGCCCCAAGGGTCCCCCATCCACACAGCACACCCCAAGGGTCCCCATCCACACACAGCACGCCCCAAGTGTCTTCATCCACACAGCACGCCCCAAGTGTCCCCCATCCACACAGCACACCCCAAGGGTCCCCATCCACACTGCAGGCCCCAAGGGTCCCCCATTTCCTGTGTGCCCACCAAGTGTCTTCATCCACCCTGTGTACCCCAAGGGTCCCCCATCCACACAGCACACCCCAAGGGTCCCCCATCCACACTGCAGGCCCCGAGGGTCCCCCATCCACACAGCACGCCCCAAGGGTCCCCCATCCACACAGCACGCCCCAAGGGTCCCCCATCCACACAGCACGCCCCAAGGGTCCCCCATCCACACAGCACGCCCCAAGGGTCCCCCTCCATGCTGCACATCTCCAAGGGTCCCTCATCTGCACAGCACGTCCTCATCTCTGTTGTGTGGATAAAGACCCTTGGGGGCGTGTTGCATGTCTGAAGACACTTAGGGCGTGCAGTAGAGATTCAATCATCGCCAACCCCCAAGGGTCCCCCATCTTCACTGCACACCCCAAGTGTCTTCATCCACGCTGCACACCCCCAAGGGACCCACATCTCCACTGTACACAGCAAGGATCCCCCATCCACTCAGCACGCCCAAGGGGTCCCCCATCTTTGCTGCACACCCCAAGTGTCTTCATCTACACAGCACGCCCCAAGGGTCCCCCATCCACACAGCACGCACCAAGGATCCCCCATCCACACAGCACGCCCCAAGGGTCCCCGATCCACACAGCACGCCCCAAGGGTCCCCCATCACTACTGCACACCCCAAGGGTCCCCCATCTCCACTGCACGCCCCAAGGGTCCCCCATCTCCACTGCACGCCCCAAGTGTCTTCATCCACGCTGCACACCCCCAAGGGACCCAAATCTCCACTGTACACAAGGATCCCCAATCCACTCAGCACACCCAAAGGGTCCCCCATCTTTGCTGCGCACCCCAAGTGTCTTCATCCACACAGCCCGTCCCCAAGGGACCCCATCTCCACTGTACACTCCAAGGGTCCACCATCCACACAGCCCGTCCCCAAAGGGTCCCCCATCTCCACTGTACACAGCAAGGATCCCCCATCCACTCAGCATGCCCAAGGGGTCCCCCATCTTTGCTGCACACCCCAAGTGTCTTCATTCACACAGCACGCTCCAAGGGTCCCCCATCCACACAGCACGCACCAAGGATCCCCCATCCACTCAGCACGCCCCAAGGGTCCCCCATCTTTGCTGCGCACCCCAAGTGTCGTCATCCACACAGCATGTCCCCAAAGGGTCCCCCATCCACACAGCACGCCCAAAGGGTCCCCCATCCACACAGCACGCCCAAAGGGTCCCCATCTTCTCTGCGCACCCCAAGTGTCGTCATCCACACAGCATGTCCCCAAAGGGTCCCCCATCTCCATTGTACAATCCAAGGATCCCCATCAACACAGCACGCCCAAAGGGCCCCCCATCCACACAGCATGTCCCCAAAGGGTCCCCCATCTCCATTGTACAATCCAAGGATCCCCATCCACACAGCACGCCCAAAGGGCCCCCCATCCACACAGCACGCCCAAAGGGCCCCCCATCCACACAGCACGCCCCAAGGGTCCCCCATCCACACAGCACGCCCCAAGGGTCCCCCATCCACACAGCATGCCCCAAGGGTCCCCCATCTCCACTGTACGCCCCAAGGGTCCCCCATCCACACAGCACGCCCCAAGGGTCCCCCATCCACACAGCACGCCCCAAGGGTCCCCCATCCACACAGCACGCACCAAGGATCCCCCATCCACTCAGCACGCCCCAAGGGTCCCCCATCTTTGCTGCGCACCCCAAGTGTCTTCATCCACACAGCACGCCCCAAGGGTCCCCCATCCACACAGCACGCCCCAAGGGTCCCCCATCCACACAGCACGCCCCAAGGGTCCCCCATCCACACAGCACGCCCCAAGGGTCCCCCATCCACACAGCACGCCCCAAGGATCCCCCATCCACACAGCACGCCCCAAGGGTCCCCCATCCACACAGCACGCCCCAAGGGTCCCCCATCTCCACTGTACGCCCCAAGGGTCCCCCATCTCCACTGTACGCCCCAAGGGTCCCCCATCTCCACTGTACGCCCCAAGGGTCCCCCATCTCCACTGTACGCCCCAAGGGTCCCCCATCTCCACTGTACGCCCCAAGGGTCCCCCATCCACACAGCACACCCCAAGGGTCCCCCATACACACAGCACGCCTCAAGGGTCCCCCATCCACACAACACGCCCCAAGGGTCCCCCATCTCCACTGTACACAGACACAAATGGTGCCCTAAGGAATTGCTGACACCCCACCAGCTGCGGGTTCCTTGGCATCGTTGGGGCTCCTCCTCTGTCCTGTACGTAGGACAGCCAATCAGGGAGGTGCTCCTAGGGGGGGTTCACCATACTCCAGGCAGATAAGTACATTGGGGGGGCAGATTGGGTTGTGGGGACCCCAAGAACCAACAATTTGACCATCTTCTGCCTCTGGCACTTGGCTAGGCGGCTGGTCCCTCCACCCAGCCAGTGACCGCCTACCAGCCCCTCCCCCGCAGAGCAGCGACACGGTGACACGGGGGCACTTTATAAATAATAGCTTTTATTTAGACACTCATACACAGCAACAGCCTCCCCCATTCACCTCCCCTCATCGCCCTCCCCCCCGTGCCCTCGGCCCTTCCCCCCCGCGTCCCCTCCCCCGGCAGCACCCAATTATTATCGTGAAGTCCCAGCTGACACCCCGGGGCGGCTCTGTCTGGCCGGCGGCAGCACATCCAGTAGGAGCGCCCATAGGGCAGGTCATGGTGGTAAGGCTTGGGGTGCCACCGGCACATGGACACGTCTCCACGCTTGTAAATCCGTTTGCACTGTTTGCAGGGGTCGTCGCGGTAGAGGGGGTCCTGGCTCCAGCGCGAGTCGCTCGGCCGCACCCCGTAGTCCTCGATCAGCGCCCGGAAGCGCCGGCACGTACATTTAATGGCAGCCAACGACTGCGTGGACAAGTAACTGAAGATGGCCAGGAGGACGTGGTCGGGCAAGGACGGCAGATAAAGGCGCGGCTGGAGAAGGCGCTGGACCTGGAAACGGATCTCCAGAAAGTCATGGGAGACGTGGCGGTAGAGGCGGCAGAGGGGAGGAGCCGGGGGCGGGGGAGGGGGAGGCGGGGGTGGGACAGAAGATAGATGAGGGAAGAAAAGTTCTCCTGGAAGTGGTTCCGTCTCACCCGCTTCTCCTCCATAAAACACGCAACGGTCTACCGCCCCAGTGAGCACCAAGTCCACGTGGAAGCCGGAATCAGAGGTGGCCGCCTGGGCTTCCTCCTCCTCATCCGTCGCCTGGGACTCCATCTTCTCCAGCAGGACGCAGACGCGGTGCGGCTCCGGACTCAGCAACTGATACAAGTCACATGTGATGGGATCTCCCGGCCTCTCCGCCACCCGAAAGGCGATGCGCACCTCGCGCTCGGCGTGTTCCGCTTCATACTGAGCCACGGCTTCCGCCACGCTGCGACAACGTCTCTCTTCACCGTCTTCGGAGGAGGTCACCAGTACCAGCGGTGGCCTTGGTGGAGGAGCTTCCATCTCTCGGCTTTCTGCCCGTGCCACCATCTCCGCCACAGAAGGAGGAGCATCGGGGTCCAGCGTGTGCCGCCGCCTCTTTGCTCTGGAACTGCCGCCCGCGCTCCACCTTCCCTTCACCTTGGGGCCACCGGGACGTGGAGAAGCGCCATTGCCGGCACACTGGTAGGCCACAAAGAAGGCCACCTTCTCCTTGGTGTTCCCAGGTTTGATGACGTACCAGGTGTCCAGCAAGACGCGGTCATCTCCGCTCCTCAGACACTCGGGGTTGTCGTGGGGCCCCAGCTTCTCCTCGGCCGGATTCCCCATCGCGTTGTCATCGGCAGACGCCCCCTTCGGGCTGGAGGGACAGTTGGCAGAAAACGTGCCAAAGGGCCGCGGGCTCCATAGGTGGACGGGGGAGGGAATCCGCGGATCCATGGCTAGTCGGTGGCCTCACGTCTGGACATCCAGAGATCTGCGGAGAGAAGAGAGGAGGCGGGGTTAGAGGGACGGCCATGGATGTACGGGGGAGGGGTACACAAGGGGGAGGAGAACAATGGCGGCAACAGAGGATCACATGACATATCACATGTCCAACCTACTAATACCCTCCCCCCATCTACTATGACTACCTAATACCCCCCCCCCCCCCCCCCCCCCCCATCTACTATGACTACCTAATACCCACCCTCCCCCCCCCCCATCTACTATGACTACCTAATACCCCCCCCCCCCCCCCCATCTACTATGACTACCTAATACCCCCCCCATCTACTATGACTACCTAATACCCCTCCCCCCCCCCCCCCCCCATCTACAATGACAACCTAATACCCCCCCCCCCCCCCATCTACTATGACTACCTAATACCCCCCCCCCCCCCCCATCTACTATGACTACCTAATACCCCTCCCCCCCCCCCCCATCTACTAGGACTACCTAATACCCCTCCCCCCCCCCCCATCTACTAGGACTACCTAATACCCCTCCCCCCCCCCCCCATCTACAATGACAACCTAATACCCCCCCCCCCCCCATCTACTATGACTACCTAATACCCCTCCCCCCCCCCCCCCCATCTACAATGACAACCTAATACCCCTCCCCCCCCCCCCATCTACTATGACTACCAAATACCCCCCCCATCTACAATGACTACCTAATACCCCCCCCCCCCATCTACTATGACTACCTAATACCCCCCCCATCTACTATGACTACCTAATACCCCCCCCCCATCTACTATGACTACCTAATACCCCCCCCATCTACTATGACTACCTAATACCCCTCCCCCCCATCTACTATGACTACCTAATACCCCTCCCCCCCATCTACTATGACTACCTAATACCCCCCCCCCCCATCTACACAAGCCTGACATCTACAACACAGCATGGGGGCCCCCAACCCAGGTATCACCCCCATATACCAACACCATACAAGACAACATGGGCCCCCCCCCAAACTCCTCCTATATACTCCCATAGGACCCCTCTCCTACATATCCCCCATAGAACCCTTCTCCCCCTATATAACCCCTAGGGGCCCCTCTCCTCCTACATAGCCCCCATAGGGCCCCTCTCCTCCTACATAACCCCCCATAGGGCCCCTCTCCTCCTACATAACCCCCCATAGGGCCCCTCTCCTCCTACATAACCCCCCATAGGGCCCCTCTCCTCCTACATAACCCCCCATAGGGCCCCTCTCCTCCTACATAACCCCCCATAGGGCCCCTCTCCTCCTACATAACCCCCCATAGGGCCCCTCTCCTCCTACATACCCCCCCAAAGGCCCTTCCCCTCCTATATATCCCCCATAGGGCCCCTCTCCTCCTACATACCCCCCCCCCATAGGGCCCTCTCCCCCTATATACCCCCCTAGGGGCCCCTATATACCCTCATAGGGCCCCTCTCTTCCTACATACCCCCATAGGGCCCCTATATACCCCACACATGGCCCCTCTCCCCCTACATACCCCCAACAGGGCCCCTGTATAGCTCAATAAGGCCCCTCTCCCCCCAGTATACCCCCATAGGGCCCCTCTCCCCCTACATACCCCTATACACCTCCACAGGGCCCCTCTCTTCCTACATACCCCCATAGGGCCGCTATATACCCTCACAGGGCCCCTCTCTCTACATACCCCCCACAGGGCCCCTGTATAGCTCAATAAGGCCCCTCTCCCCCTGTATACCTCCACAGGGCCCCTCCCGTCCTATATACACCGATAGGGCCCCTATATACCCTCATAGGGCCCCTCTCCCCCTACATACCCCTATATACCTCCACAGGGCCCCTCTCGTCCTATATACCCCCATAGGGCCCCTATATACCCTCATAGGGCCCCTCTCTCTATATACCCCCCACAGGGCCCCTGTATAGCTCAATAAGGCCCCTCTTCCCCTGTATACCTCCACAGGGCCCCTCTCCCACCATACATCCCCCGTGTGGCCCCCAGGGGCCCCCGGCCCTCCTCACCGGCTCCGGTTCCTCTCTCGGCCGGGACCTGTCACTGGGGGAGGGGAGTCACCTGACCTCTTAAAGGAACAGTCCTCTCCGGCTCCCACGCTGAGCTCTGGTGACGGACAGCAACGGGAGGGGCCGCCAGCCAATCAGGAGCCGCGATTGCGGCCATGTCCTTATATGGAAAGTCCCGGGCCGGGCAGGGAGCGTCTGACAAGAGCGGAATCCGGGAGAGGCGCAGAGAGGGAGGAGCACGTGACCGAGAGGAGCCAGAGACCACGTGACCCCTGAGAGCGACACAACGTATCCAGCCGCCAGCCAATCAGATTCCCTCCATTACACGGCGGGGACCGGGGGAGATGCTGATTGGTCAGACAGTTCTGTAGAAGCCGAACAGAACCGACTACTGAACAGTGTCATTGCCGTACGGTGTCATCGCATGCCGAGCAGTGTCATCACACGTCGTATGGTGTCATCACACGTCGTATGGTGTCATCGCACGTCGTATGGTGTCATCGCACGCCTCACAGTGTCATTGCACGCCGCACAATGTCATCGCATGCCGAGCAGTGTCATCGCACGCCGTATGGTGTCATCGCATGCTGCACAGTGTCATCGCACGTCGTATGGTGTCATCGCACGTCGTATGGTGTCATTGCACTCCGTATGGTGTCATCGCATGCCGCACAGTGTCATCGCATGCCGAGCAGTGTCATCGCACGTCGTATGGTATCATCGCACGCCGCACGGTGTCATCGCACGTTGTATGGTGTCATCGCATGCCGCACAGTGTCATTGCCGTACAGTGTCATCGCACGTCGTATGGTGTCATCGCACGCCGCACAGTATCATCGCACGCCGAACAGTGTCATCGCACGCCGCACGGTGTCATCGCACGTTGTATGGTGTCATCGCATGCCGCACAGTGTCATTGCCGTACAGTGTCATCGCACGTTGTATGGTGTCATCGCACGTTGTATGGTGTCATCGCACGTCGTATGGTGTCATCGCACGTTGTATGGTGTCATCGCATGCCGCACAGTGTCATTGCCGTACAGTATCATCGCACGCCGAACAGTGTCATCGCACGCCGCACGGTGTCATCGCACGTTGTATGGTGTCATCGCATGCCGCACAGTGTCATTGCCGTACAGTGTCATCGCACGTTGTATGGTGTCATCGCACGTCGTATGGTGTCATCGCACGTCGTATGGTGTCATCGCACGTTGTATGGTGTCATCGCACGCCGCACAGTATCATCGCACGCCGCACGGTGTCATCGCACGTTGTATGGTGTTATCGCATGCCGCACAGTGTCATTGCCGTACAGTGTCATCGCACACCGAACGGTGTCATCGCATAATGAACAGTGCCATCGCATGCCGCACAGTGTCATCACACACCATATGGTGTCATCGCACGCCGCACAGTATCATCGCACGCCGCACAGTATCATCGCACGCCGCACGGTGCCATCGCACGCCGAACGGTGCCATCGCACGCTGTAGTGTCATCGCATGCCGAACGGTGTCATCGCATGCCGCACAGTGTCATCGCATGCCGAACGGTGTCATCGCACGTTGTATGGTGTCATCGCATGCCGCACAGTGTCATTGCCGTACAGTGTCATCGCACACCGAACGGTGTCATCGCATAATGAACAGTGCCATCGCATGCCGCACAGTGTCATCACACACCATATGGTGTCATCGCACGCCGCACAGTATCATCGCACGCGCCGCACGGTGCCATCGCACGCCGAACGGTGCCATCGCACGCTGTAGTGTCATCGCATGCCGAACGGTGTCATCGCATGCCGCACAGTGTCATCGCATGCCGAACGGTGTCATCGCACATTGTATGGTGTCATCGCATGCCGCACAGTGTCATTGCCGTACAGTGTCATCGCATGCCGTACAGTGTCATTGCCGTACAGTGTCATCGCACACCGAACGGTGTCATCGCATAATGAACAGTGCCATCGCATGCCGCACAGTGTCATCACACACCATATGGTGTCATCGCATGCCAAGTGGTGTCATCGCATGCCGCACAGTGTCATCACACACCATATGGTGTCATCGCATGCCAAGTGGTGTCATCGCACGCCGCACAGTGTCATCACACACCATATGGTGTCATCGCACGCCGCACAGTATCATCGCACGCCGCACAGTATCATCGCACGCCGCACGGTGCCATCGCACGCCGAACGGTGCCATCGCACGCTGTAGTGTCATCGCATGCCGAACGGTGTCATCGCATGCCGCACAGTGTCATCGCATGCCGAACGGTGTCATCGCACATTGTATGGTGTCATCGCATGCCGCACAGTGTCATTGCCGTACAGTGTCATCGCACACCGAACGGTGTCATCGCATAATGAACAGTGCCATCGCATGCCGCACAGTGTCATCACACACACATATGGTGTCATCGCATGCCGAGTGGTGTCATCGCACGCCGCACAGTATCATCGCACGCCGAACGGTGCCATCGCACGCCGTAGTGTCATCGCATGCCGAACGGTGTCATCGCATGCCGAACGGTGTCATCTCACGTTGTATGATGTCATCGCATGCCGCACAGTGTCATTGCCGTACAGTGTCATCGCACATGCCGAATGGTGTCATCGCATAATGAACAGTGTCATCACATGCCAAACAGTGCCATCGCATGCCGCACAGTGTCATCACACACCATATGGTGTCATCGCATGCCGAGTGGTGTCATCGCATGCCGAGTGGTGTCATCACATGCCGTAGTGTCATCGCATGCCGTGCAGTGTCATCGCATGCCGTACGGTGTCATCGCATGCCGTACAGTGTCATCGCACGCCGCACAGTATCATCGCATGCCGACCAGTGATATTGCGTGCTGAACAGTACATGGAATACAGTACAGTGCCAAAGCATGCCGTATAATGCCAGCGCATGCTGAACAGTACATAGGTTGGGTCTGGTGGTGGACGG